CACAGCCAGAACCCAAGGGCACCCACAATGGGACATCCCAAAACACAACAAGAACCCAAGGGCACCCACAATGGGACATCCCAAAACACAACCAGAACCCAAGGGCACCCACAATGGGACATCCCAAAACACAACCAGAACCCAAGGGCACCCACAATGGGACATCCCAAAACACAACCAGAACCCAATGGCACCCAGAACGGGACATCCCAAAACACAACTGACTCCAAGGGATACTCAACACAGAGCACCCCAAACCACAACTAGAACCTACAGTCACCCACAACAGGATACCCAAAAGACAACCAGAAGCCGGGGATATCCACAGCAAGACACCCAAAACCACACCTGGAACCCAAGGGCACCCACACTGGGATGTGCAAAACACAACTGGAACCCATGGGCACCCACAGTGGAAAACTCAAAACACGACGTGAAGGAAAACAGCAGCGCAGGTAAGAATTAAACCACAGCTCTATCTGCCGCAGGGGATGCGAGGCTGGGCTGCGCCGACGCGGGCGGCCGCGCTTCGGCCCTTCAGCCGTTTCTAAAAGCAGCATCCCAGCACCGAGGCGCACCCCGCAGCATTCCTGCCTCTCATTCCTGCAGCTATAAAAGGAAATGGCCAATTCCAGCCTTTCTCCCTCGGACCATCGCCGATCTCGGGGTGGTTTCCTGCGGGCGGGCGGCTCGGCCCCGCGGCGCTGGCCCTCGTCACCAAATGGCAGCGGGGCCGGCTGCCAAGCGGCCCTAATGGGGAACAGCTGGAGCGGGACTGCGCTCCTCCCGCCCCGCAGACACTGGGGCTCTGTTTGGGAGCCGACTGCAGCAGATCGCCATTGGGATCCGCTCGATGCGTTCCGGCCCTGAGCGGAACCGCTGGGTCTGAAGCAAAAAGGATGCTTTGCAATAGGGCTTCGGTTTTTTTTTTTTCCCCTCCCCTCCCTTTTTATTTCTTGTCCACTTTTCTTTTTTTTTGTTTTCCCTTCTCTGTTTTCCTTTCCTTTTTTTTTTTTTTTTTTTTTCTTTCCCTCCATTTTCCTCCTTTTTTTTCCATTTCCTCCATTTCTGGGGGTACAGACTGGGGAAAACCCAACTGTCCAACTTTAAGACTCGCATTCCACACCGCAGAAACTCTACAGCAACTTCCATCCCCATCACTGTAAATACACACACGGGGACATACGCTAGCAATACATGCATGCAAAGGCATGTACAGGAACATACGTGGCTCTGGGCAGCCTGGTCTGCTGGTTGGCGACCCTGCATATAGCAGGGGGGTTGAAACGAGATGATCATTGTGGTCCTTTTCAACCCAGGCCATTCTGTGATATGCACATATAACAACCCCAATAATTGCATTAACACTTCGCTCCAACTCCATTGACTTCTGCAGAGTTGAGGAAGTCGGGACAGCAGTCACATAAAGCCCCAATGCACTTTCCCAGCCCTGCACACTCCCTGCAGTGCATCCCGTGAATGCAGCAGCAGAAAGAACACAAGGGGGGTATTGAGAGCTGCAGGAAAAGAAAAAAAAAAAAAAAAAAAAAAAAAAAGCGAAAGGAAAAAAAAAAAAAAGTGCGTCCAAACAGGAGCTGAGTGATGAAACAGAAATTGCCACATTTCAAAGAAATTCGGATAACCCAGCTGGCCAGACCTTGAGAAAATAACAGTTCGCCTAAGGTAGCGATGGGCTCCTTGTTGCAGAGAGCAAAGCGAGCCACGTTGTCCAAAAGAAGCCTGGAAAATCCAGACTCTACGTGACCTGACTTACTTATTGCACAGGAAACTGCATGGAAGGAGGAAGGGGGGGAGGAATAAAAAAAAAAAAAAAAAAAAAGCCACCAATCATTCATGCTCCCGTAGTTACACCGCGCAATAGTTGGCTGTGCTGGAAGCCAAGTGGAATGAGCCATCAGCAGTTTGAAAATGTGAGAGATGGCGGGGCGGGTGGGGAGATCAACAGGGGTTAGGTATGGATATATGGCTTTGGCTGCATTAGGGCAGATAAGGGGGAATGCAAGAAGGGGGAAAGTAAATAAAAAGGAGGGGGGAAAAGGAAGGAAAAGGACAACAAGGAGAAAAAAAACTGAAAAAGGGAATAGAAAAGGGGGAAATAAAAGGGGTTGCAGCAAACTCACCGGGGTTGTTGGCCTCCCCTTCGAGGACGTGCAGCTCGGTGCAGTCCGCCAGCGAGTGCTCCAGGCAGAGCTGCAGGAAGCGCGCCTGGGTCCGGCTCACGCGTTTGAGCAGCGAGAGCAGCGCAACAGTCTGCTCGCACTCGTTCCAGCCCTTGAACCAGCCGGCCAGAACGCCGACCTGGTCTCGAAACATCATGGTGCTGAGGGCCGGGGTGCGAGGGGAGGGCTGCTCTCCTCCTCCCCCCCAACCCCCGGTGATAGAGTCGGGTGACGGTGAGGATTTCCTCTGCGATGCGAGGCTGGGTTGGTGGGTGGGCGTAGGGTGCAGCTTCGGGTTCGCTCGGTTTTCTTCGGGGGTGGTGATGGCGATGCGGAGTAAATGGGGGTGGGAGGAGTGGGAGGGGAGGTGGGGAAAAAAAAAAATAAGAAAAATTTAAAAAGATGAAGGAGGGAAAAAAAAAAATAAGGTAAAATAATAAGGAAAAGCCCAGCGGTCTGCGTGCACCGAGCCGGCCCTGCGCTGCGAGTGTGGGCAAGGCACGTAACGAGCGGGATCGGGCCGGGGGGGGGGTCACACCTGGAAGAGAGAAATGGGGAGGGGTCAGAGGGGGGCAGGAGGAGGAGGAGGAGGAGAGGAGAGGAGAGGAGGAAGGCACGCAGCAGTCGGGCACTGCAGCCCGCTGCCTTTCTCCTCCTCCTCCAGATCTGGGCTCACCCCACCGCTTTTGGGGGGGGGGGGGGGGGGGGGACAGGGGGACCCCCCTCCCAGCGCGCAGACAGCCCGCAGAAAATATCCCTGGGGGAAAGGAGGAAGGGATGGATCTCTTCCAACACCCTTCTAGGAGGGGGCAACGCAGCAATTTCCGCCCCCCCACAAAATAAAAGTTCCCCCCCCGCCCGCTGCCCGGCACTCACCTCATTCACACCGGCCTCGGGGTGCTGGAAGAGGAGGGAGGGGGGGGAGAGAGGCGTGGGGGGGGGCGCGCCCCGTCGGGGGCTGGGGGGGGGGGGGGGAATAAGGGGGAGAGAAGGGGGGGGCGCGGGGCGCGAGCGGCGGCGGCGGCGGCTCCGCGGCGCGAGACTGAGCCCGGCGGCGCGCCGAGCCCCCGCTCCCCACATTGCGCTCATTTGCATAGCGGTGACGTCATCGGGAGGGCGGGGCGCGGGAAACGAAGTGGGGGGGGGGGGGGGGGAGGGGGGGGGGACGCGCGCCCTCCTCTCGTTCCCCGCGTGCCCCAACCCCGTGCAGCAGCTCCGCGCGAATCCGCGCTGCTAATTCAGCGCTCCGGTCCCCTCGCGCCAAAAAAAGCGCCGCAGTCACACCTCCCCCCCGCCCTCCCCGCTCCCCATCCGCAAAGCTTCCCCCCCAACCCCCCAGCCGTCATCCCGCCCTCAAAGCTGCGGGCTTCCCGCTGGGGGAAGCCGCCATCTAGTGGAGACAGCGGGGATGGCAGGGGCGGTTGGATCATTTAATTATATTTCAGATACGCATCATATGCATATATGCGTATTGGGCCAGCCGTTGGTGAGGGTACCGCTGTGTGGGATGCGGGGGCTCAGTGGGGGTTGTTGGTGCTTTGGGCTGTGATGAGTCCTGTGGGTTGGAGTTGTTGGGTGTTGTGAAGAGGTGCGAGTTTGGGGAGGAAAGGAAGAGGAGAAAAGGAGGAGATAAAAGAATGGAAAAGGAGGGGAACGAAAGTAAAGAGGAGGATGAGAAAAGGAAGCAAAAGAAGGGAAGGTAAAGAAAAAAGGAAAGGAAAACAAAATGAAAATAGATGAGAAGGAAGAAAAGGAAAGAAGAAAGAAAAATAAAAGGAAAAAGAAAGGAAAAAAAAAGGAAGAAAGCCTTCTGTAGAAGGCTGCGTATCCATCAGCACACAAAGGCCCAGATTTCCTATCTCGTTAGAAGCAAACCTGAATAAAAGCATCACAGCAGGAAGGATGGAAGAATTAAATGCAGCATCTCTTGCTTGTTCCTAAACAAAGTCTGGAGCTGCCCACCAAGACGTGACTGCATTTTCATTACCTTGCACCGTGCCGTGGGCCGAGAGCTGCGCCATTCCCAGCAGTTGGAAACCTGCTTCCAACCCGAGATGTGCCAGCAGCACAGATAGAAAGGCAGTTTTTGTACTTAATTAGCAATTAAGTGTGTCTGGTGCTGACAGAACAATGGGGATTTTAGGTTTTAGATGAAGCCAGGCTGCTGGGGAGGAAAATCTTCCTCCTATGAAGAAAGGTTGAGGGAAGTGGGCTTGTTTAGCTTGGAGAAGAGAAGGCTCCAGGGAAACCTCATGGTGGCCTTCCAGTGCTTGAAAAGTGTATAAACAGGAGGGAGAACGGCTGTTTGTGAGGGTGGATGGTGAGAGGACAAGGGGAATGGTTTTAAAGTGAGACAGGGGAGGTTTAGGTTGGATATGAGGAGGAAGTTTTTCAGCCAGAGGGTGGTGAGGCACTGGCACAGGTTGCCCAAGGAGGCTGTGGATGCCCCATCCCTGCAGGCATTCAAGGCCAGGCTGGATGTGGCTCTGGGCAGCCTGGGCTGCTGGTTGGCGACCTGCACTACCTGATTAAAATAAGAGATCAGGATGATGTTCCGGTGTAGATGGCTGTGGTTACAAATCTGCCAAGTGAAATTACAAAGCCTGCCCACGAGGTGCTGTGGGATGAGCATCTAACATGTTGCTGCAAGCAGATCCATTGGTTGGGTCCTGGGAACAGCTTGCTCGTTGCTTACAGGTTGCTAAAAACGAAAGATAAAAATGAGCCCATCAAAACATGTCAGAATATCTGGAGACCTTTATATCACATTATTTTCAGGCCAGGAGAAAAGCAAACAGTTTGCCACAGGTAGAGCATCAAATGCTGCTGGACTTGCTGGAGACTTCTTAGTATTTGTTAAGAAGTTGGGCTGAAAGAGAAGATCGTAGCAGGCAGATTTATTTACACATTTTCACATGTCTGGGAAGATATTAAAGACTGAAAAGCTGGAAAAGCTATAGCTGTTCATGTTCTCATAAACATAGCCCACCAGCTCTTGGTGGATCTCTTTCTTCAGTCTTACAGCAAGGTCACAGAATGGCCTGGGTTGCACAGGAGCACAGCGCTCATCCAGTTCCAACCCCTGCTGTGTGCAGGTCGCCAACCAGCAGCCCAGGCTGCCCAGAGCCACATCCAGCCTGGCCTTGAATGCCTGCAGGGATGGGGCATCCACAGCCTCCTTGGGCAACCTGTGCCAGTGCCTCACCACCCTCTGGTTGAAAAGAGATATAAGGGTAAGTTACAGGCTGGATTCAGGCTGGACTTGGAGCAGGTCATCCTGCAGAGGAAGGTTTGCCAGGGTCTAGAGTTGGCCACCTAGGAAGAAGGCAGCTTTCAAAGGAGCAGCAGCAGCTGAGTTGTCGATCTTGTCTTCACGTATGGCAGTGCCTGGGGGAAGGCAGTGCTTTCCAAGCTGTCACGTGCCATAAATCACTGGCCTGTTTGGTCTTTGATCAATGAAACGTGCTGTCATAGAAAGAGGTCTGCTAACCTTGGCAGCCAGAGCAGCCACATGAGAAAGGCATTGCCTGCTCCCTCGGGGCTCCCTGCTTGCCGGAATCCTCCTCAGCCTGCCAGCATCAGCCCACCCCAGGCTTCCTGCAAGCTGCTGCATTCTGAACTTGCAGTCTTGGCTCTTTCCCTGCAGGGGAAAATGGTGAAATCAAGGACCCTCGGGAAGACCAAAACGCCATAGCTAGAGCAGGGTGCCTGCACTGTGACTGACCAGCTAAGAAGCAGCACAACATCTGTATCTCACAGCCAGTTCTGGCAGCAGGAGACTGATGCACGATGAGCCTGGTGGGTCCCAGGAACCCTCTGGGGTCTCGCAGGTGGACTCAATAACACCTGTGAACTCAGAAGGAAAAAAGAAGAGGACCAACTGCAAAGATAATTCACAAGTTAGCAATCCCTCCTCTAACTTGTTAAAGTAGCCTTGCTCACAAGGAGCTGATAGACATCAAAATAAGGATCATTATGAGAAATATAAGTGATGCATTAGATTTCTCACCAGTCCCCTGACTTCAGCTGCTATTGAGAAGTCTGCCAAGGAACACTAGATTTGAAGTGGTAATTCAGTGGGAGAGTAAAGAATATTAGGACAGCCCTAAACCTTCATTTACAGAGACAAAACCCTGGAGGAAACATCTGAAACCTAGAGAGCTTTCTAGGCACGAACTTGCTCCTGATACAAGGACACCACAGACTGAAGCTATGAAGCAAAGGTAATAATTTGTGTAGATAATTTACTGCAGAGTAATTCTGGAATTCGTCTGACCCTCAGAAGAGCATCCAGTCACCCTGCTGGTGTTTTCTAAAAAAAATGGGAATGCAGTGAGTGTGGCAATGATGATGGCAGAAGTCACAGGAATGGCATTTCTATGGTGGAGGAGTGCATTTGCAGGGAGGGTGAACTAAACCAAGTGGAGAGGATTAACTCCTATTTATATTCTGCAACAAAAATCATTACAAATTAATAATGCCCCAACACTGTTCAAAAGAATCAACTCTTGCAGCTAGATGCCTGCATGTGCTCCTGATGTCACCACATCCATAAACCTAACCTATAATGAGTAGAAAAGGAACTCAATGTTTTGTTATATTTATCACAACAGAATGACAGAGGTTTTTTTCTCCTCTCAGTAGAGCATGTTTTTGTGGATCACAGGGTGGTTTTATTTCTGCATTACAGCCTTGAATCCCTGTTTTAAGACAATCAAGAGAGGCACAAGGCAGCCTTAAGGCTGCTCCTGTTACTTCTCTCCTCATTCATTTTTTGAGATGGCTTCTTAGAAGAAGGGCAAACGTAATAAGCCAGCTACTGTACTTGCCATAACTCTCAGTTGGGTCTTTGATTTGGGCCAGCAAGGAAGCTCGTTACATCTGATAAAGCAACTAAGCATCTCTGGAAAATGCTGTTAAAAATAGAACGTGAAGCAAATGAAAAGCTAGGAGACCTAATGGTAAATACATGGCCTGGAAGTTCAGCACAGCTACATCCTGTTTGCCATTATTATTCAATATGGCATCGATCTGTTGAAGGATAAGACAGACCAGGCAATTCTCTGTGGAGTTTACTTGAATACCATTCCAGTCTGAGATTAAAAAAGCCCAGAAGCTTGCATCATACTGGGAAACTTCCATAAATTGGTGCTGCTGGTAGTTTTACAGTAGTAAAAAAAACCCCACCAAACTCACATCTTTCTTTGATCACCCCCAAAGCCAAACCAAGTCCCTGCTAAAGCACAAAGCCACAAAGCAGTGCCCAGCTCCAGGTTAGAAGTAGTGCAGCACTAAGCTATGCCTCTGGACTAATGATCTGCATGGCCTCTATACCAAATGCAGGTAGGGTAAACTGTTCGTGTGACACCGTGCACACAAGGAAGTCTGAAAAGCAATTATTTCTACCATCATCACCTCTCCTTCCATGCACAACATTCAGCAACGCAGACAGAGAGGCTAAACTCAGCAACCACCTCCCTCCATCAGGTCTGCAGCAACCAAGCTAGCAAAACTCAGGATAACAGACACAGGGAAAGTGATCTTCGTTTTCAAAACTGCTTTCACCCCTCTGCTTCTTGCATGTTCACATACTCACTAGCAGCAAGACGTGTGTCCAAATGGTTGAGACTGCCTACAGTGAAAGAGAAGACAAGGAATGTTTGTCTATCAAATCCTCATGCCTTCGCAGCTCAGACTGAGCGCTGAAGACACCAGATGGTATTTAGAGTCTTCATAAGCTCTCAATACAGGCAGCTCTGGTTCTTTTGAAGTTGCATCACTCTGTTGTTTCTCCACATCTGCACTGTGTTCTCACCTGTGGGATAGCCTTGCTACCAGCAGCACTCCAGCCAGCAATTGCTCCTTCTGTTATTGCACTCTCTGCATTCCTCTTAGTGTTCTCAGCCTCTTAAATTGCCTCACATACACCATTCATTGCCGTGATGATTTCCAAACAGAACCATTTGTCTTTGGAAGTTCTCTGTTAGCACTTTTCAGTCCTTCCTCAAATATATATGCATTTAACTCCTGTTAGATACACAGTGCAAACAGCAGGCTGATTTGGCCAGCCATTTATTCCAGGGTTCTCTGGTAAGGAAGGTCACTGTAGGTAGAGCAGACAGTCTTACACAAAGCCTATGAATATTTGGAAGTCTGTGGCCATGTGCATCAATTCCCAGCCTCTGTCTATCTTCACAAGCAAGCACAACTCTTTTCATGACTACTGAAGTCTTTTACTCAAAAATAAATGCCAGGAATTTAGATGAATCGAGGCAAAACTAACAGAAAAGAAAATAAGTGACAGAAAGATAAAGATGGAATACCTCGAGCAGAAGCTGCCTTCCCTGTTTTGGAGGTGTGTGACACCGAAATCAGCACTAGGGCAGCGTTGATACAGGAGCCATAGGAGAGTGCAGCTGAAATGCTTGGAGCACAGCTTTTTCTCCCTGGGACTGAGCATGTGTCCTGAAAATGGATATGGGGCAAAGGGACAGAGGAACACGATGCAAGACAGAGCAGGCACTCCCTGTTTTTACAGGTTCCAGCAAGTGTCTGCATTTGTGTCTTCTATCAGCAGATTTGAAACCCAGCCTGTCTTTGGCTCTCAAGCACAACAACTTCTCATCAGCCATTTTTACTGCTTTTGACAACGCTACTAAGAGAAAAAAAAAGATAGTTTTCAACAATTCTTTAGCTTCTTTCTTTATTAGAGTAAGCAAATGGCCTGGGACTACTGATAAAAGGAAAAGTAATGGTCAACTGTTCATCCAATCTGACAACGCAAGTAAACAGAATTGGAAATTCCCCAAGCAGGCAGCTGGTATAAGAATAGCACAGCAGAACTGCTCAAGTAACTCCATGGAGTAATTAACTAACATTTGTATGGAGAACAAGTTCTTGCAGCCATTGCCAGAAGATTGAAAATCTGTTGCAAGATGACATAGTAGTAGCAGCTCAGGCTTGAAAGTGTCAGCAAGGTTTAGTTCAAGGCAACAAATAGCAACAGAACCCTTTGCACTCCTTCCACTGGGCTTTGGCTCAGGCCCTTCACATGCACATCATTTCAAAATAGCCCCAAACAGTGTCCTGAACAACTTCTCCTTCCAGCTCCTGTCACACTACAGCCTTTGTCTACAGAATAAATATGCATGGGTTTGACTACAAAGAATGTAGCCTTTCCTTCATTTGTCACGCTCTGTAAAGTGCCAGGTTTCTAAATTATAAGGAATTAAGATGACATAAAGCTCTAATATTTTAAATATAATAAATATAGAATAAGCTGTGTCATTCACAGCTTATTCACTTCAACTTCACTTGCAAGTTTTGTTTGCAAGTAGATAAAGCTAAATTTAGTAATCAAAATAGCCTGCAGTAGTACTCCATGAAAAATTAGTAAGAAGCTATAAAAATAATCCCATCCTTCAAGTAGGTCCTACGCACTTCTTCTGTCCACATTGCAGAGAAATGTAATGTTCCTGCGAGCATATGGAGCGAAGACACATAAGGAAGCTGAAAATTGCCTAGCAGTGAAAAGCAAAACTGTACAAGTTAATGCTAGATATCCTCCCATAAACAGTCTGTTCTCTACATTTAACCTTGGTGCATACAACCCAATCCTTTTATTTTTGTCTCCATTAAAAAACTCTTCCAGGATGAACATCTTGCGAGATCTGGGTTGATTCATCTTCATCTTGCTCCTTTTTACTGCAGAGTGGGAAAGACTCTTGAACAAACTGCCTACACATGGGACACTGCTGAAAATACTTAATGCAGCCATCGCACAAGCACGTGTGCCTGCAGGGCAGGAGCACCCAGTTCACTGTGCCATTCTGGCACACAACGCAGTCTTTACTGTTTTCTTCATGCAATTCTGGTTCGTCTTCAGCCAGTCCGGCTTTTTCCAGCAAGCTTCTGTCTGTGCTTCTCTCATCTGGAGAGGTACCACACGAAGGTGGTGTAGGACTATTTGCAGACATGAAGAGCTGCTAAAATACACATACACACAAGCATTTAGCACAAGTCAGCAATCTACCCCCAATACCTGGACACACACCTTCCATGTAAATTCCCACCACGACAGATTTGTTCGGTCCCACTGGGTCAAATGGGACCAGACTCATTCCTTGCACGAGTCAGGACAGTTTCCTGGCCTTCAATGATACATATCAATTCTATGCTTCTGAAATACAAAACACTGGCAAAATAGTAAAGATAAGCTGTCAAATCTTACCTTAATCAAATCAGTGTGCATGCGTGAACTTTAACTGAACCGCACTGGTTGTGAGCAGCTCAGCTTTCTGTTTCTGGCTTATCATTATCTGAGCCTAGAGGGATGCTTCTACCCACTCCCACCCAACATATATCCCAGCACACCTTCAGAATTACCTCCCTTTACCCACTCTGCTCTTTCTCACGTTGAAATCCTTTATTCCTTTCTAGGGTGTTTTATGGAAAGAACAAATTCTTCTGGGCATGACCTGTTAATAAAGCTGGTGAACTACCACGCAGACAAAGGTGCCCACAGGGAACACACTGCTCAACTGTATTACAAAGTGCAGCTGCACAGTTGTTTCCGTTTAGTTTAAGCTGTATTTTTTACAACAGTAACAGAAAAATAAACCTCAAATGGGGTCAACTTGGAAGTTTACCTGGATCAACTGTGTCAGTAAAAGATGGCCAAGACAAACATCTTGTGGGAAAAATTTCTTTCCAGATGAATGCTAAGTGAGTCAATTGAATTCATTTGGCACCATTTCTAGCTAGTTGATATTATACATTACTGTTATTATCATGATAATAGAATTACATCATCAACAGACATGGGACACAAACAGTCCCAAACACACATAGATAAGGGAAACTGAAAAGGAATGAAGAGAACATAGGTTCATCTGATAGCAGCCTGCACTAATCTTTGTACACACTGTGGTAAAAAGAAATTAAGAAGTCTTCTAAGGCTCTTCCAGTTGTACAGCAAAAGAGGAGAAAGTGCTGCTTTGAGAGACTAGCAAGGAAATAATTGTTTTGTAGAGAAGCAACATTCAGTAGCTAGTTAATTTATTACTAGTGCCTTAACAGGTGGACAGGAGCTAGGCATCTGAGACTAGAAACACCTTCTTTAGTAAATCCTGGATATTTTCAGGTATTCCTGCACAGTAACTTTGGCTGGAACTTCTCAACTAATAAAATAATTGTAACTATTACTGCAAGGAACTTGGTAAAAAGTCATGCACTAACTTAAGCTCCTGAAAGCCCACACAAACTAAGCTTAGCACAAGTGTCAGTACGTGGCTTACCTTCAGATCATGGTACTGGCCTTGAGCTAGAAGCAGGTACTGATATAATATTCTGCAGGAAAGTCTGTAGCTCTCGTCAGGAACATGAATGACAGCCACCATTGAAATCTACCAAATGAAAAAGTATGTTTAATATCTTTCCTTTCTATGATATGGTTCATATAAAATGGTGTGTCATGGAAAGGCTTGGGTTTGGAAGGAACCTCAAGCTTTAAAGATCACATATACTGTTGTAACTTCTGACCTGCTCATTTCCTTAGACAATCAGGTCTTCATCAATACTGACTTCAAGCACAGAGGAAAACAGAATGCAGGCCAAGGTAAAAATGGGAAGTGGCACAAGAAAGCTCTTGGTGGAGTCTCAGCTTCCTGCCCTGGTCATCCACTGCACCCTCCTGTAACCAGCTTAGAGCAGAGAGTCGCCCTGCCTGCTCTCAGCTGCTGGAATTGGGCCCTGTACCAAAAAGGCACCCAAGCTCATGCCCTGCTCCTGAAGCTCAGTGCTTAAGTGCTTATGCAACTGAGGTAGGGCCTACATACTCATGCAAGTGCCTCAGCCTCACACTTCAAAATCCACTACGTGGCTAATTACATACAGAGCTTAAATACACACATACCTGTGCACGTGTATTTATACTAACTGCATTTACTATCCTTTCTGCAATAAGGGTTTTTTTCTCTAATCACAATGCCTCAAGAAAATTCACAAAGCTTCGTGCTGGCTTAGTTTTGGAACCTGAAAGTCATCAATTCTCCATGAGAATTCAGCCCTCGTGCTTTGATGAGGTTCTACAAGCTAGCAGTGTGTCTGTATTACACCATCACACCCCAAATGCTGTTTCAGTGGCAATGCATGTCATCAGCTCACTGCTCGTTCAGACAGAGGCAACTTTCTGAATCATGAGTAGGAGCCATTCCAGATGGAAACATCTCAGCTCTTTAAGGTGTTGTTTCCTCTGTTGTGCTGCCCTATAGGACAGAAATCTATTCAGTGATGCTAGGACCTGGCATTAACTTTGTGCTGTTTGATCATAAATCTTCCTTTCGAGTGCTTTCTGTCTTTTTAGTTGTACACCATGACCAAGTTACTTCTCAATCTTCTGTTTAATACACTGAGTCTTCTACACCTTCAGTTCTGCTGTTCTTCAAATAATTTCTGTAACCTTTTTCTGTTGTCACATGAATCTGGTGTGGAAAACTAAAGGAAAATTCCAGCACAAAACCACACAGGCATGATCTGGCCACAGATGCATTCAGGATGAAAGTTAGCCCATGTTCTTAGCTTTCAAGTCAGCCATCAGCACAAATATCTCTGCTAGATCTAAAAAAGAAGGTCTTTCTTTGCCAACAGCAATCTGAAACACCGTATCTATCAGCAACAGGAGCTCCAGCACAGAGACATATCCCTAAAATATATTCCTGTATTACTTACAATATCATATATTTCCCTGTCTTCTTCATCAGCTAATGTCAGCAGTGCTATCAGAGGATAGCAAAGTCGAGGCACTGGGCCAAAATCGACAACTTGAGCATCTTCTGGTAGCTGACAATATTTTTCTTCCCTGTCATTTTTTTTGATGCTTTCTTTGTGTCAAGGAAAACAATCAGTGTCACAGTGATAGCAGACACGTGACGTTTGCATAAAGAATATTTGTCATCATATTTATTCCTAGTCACATCGTACCAAGAGCTGCCTCATGTTCACAGCTCTCCCTGTGCCAGCAAATTAGCAGATTCTGTCAAACCAATTGAAAGAAAGGATACAAGTATTGCTGTCGATAGAGATATTCGTCGTACAGAGCATCCTCTAAGGCCTGAGGAGTATTTATTCTGAAGCAGTAGACGTGTTTTTGCAACGCCTCGTGGAGTTTTTGAACACTGCAGCCCCAGTAGCAGGTAAGAACACAATCTTCCAGACAGTCAGGTGTCAGTGTCACACCCTCTTTTAGAAAGAAGATAAGGACTTCGTTAATTCCATTGATTCACCCATGGGCAGGAATTCTAAGAACTGCTAAGTTTTAAAAGGAAACAGGCAGAAAGCAACCACAGCATCCCAGATCTTCACCGTTTTAATCTAATCTTTAAAAATCCAAACGAGGTTTGGTGCTTCTGGAAGACAACGATGAGAGGGCAGTGGGTGTGGGGAGATACAAACGCTGCCTGAGCCAAGAGAAGCAGCATGTGCACTACAAAGGGTAAATGTTAACTTCTGCTAACATTTTACAAGCACACCGGAAGGCCCAGGAGTATAATCTCTAGACCAAAGTCCATTCCCTCTTTAGACAATGACAGTAATTGAATCACTGACCTACAACACCCACCGTGGCCTCCAAGGATAAGGCCCTCTTGGTCATGCAGAGGAATGCTAAAAAGATGATGTGTGCTGCATTCCCTTCTTAAAAACCAAGCATCCAACACAGCAACCTCTACAATGCTAACAGCACAAACAGGAACACAACTCTTGAGAAGTCCCACCAAATTCAAGTGCTCAAACCTGCTGGAAAATTCATGCGACTTGATGACTAACTGCAGGGATTTGTTCTGAGTGTGCTTCTTTGTTGTTTGGTTTGTTGTGTTCCTGTTCTCTTTTTCAGTTTTTTAAAGAAATGAAGACAAGGAATGTTCTGCTGCAGCCTTTTCTCATCCATGGTTTTGCATCTGTTTGGGTGGAAAACGCTCAGCCTTGTTTCCTACTCCCAACCATGCAGAAGTACATGAATTTTACTTCCTGCGTGGGTGATCTCAAGGATTGCAGGGACTACTGGATCCACACAGATACTTCAGTGTCCACTGAATCATTCATACATATTTTCGTTATAATGTAGTGCAGTTCCAAACATCAGTGCAGAAGAAATTTGATTGTGAATCAGATAGTGCATAATCTATACTAAATTCTAATCAAAGTTTACAAAAAACACTGACAGTAATTGGTAATCTGCAAGTTTTTCTAATTACTTAAATACCTGCTATAGCAGGAAGTGGTTCATTAGTAAGAATTCAACTGTTCTTAAATATCCAAATATTCTGCTTTAAACACAGAATCATAGATTCCTAGAATGGCCTGGCTTGAAAAGGACCACAATGATCATCTGGTTTCAACCCCCTGCTATTGCAGGGTCACCAACCAGCAGACCAGGCTGCCCAGAGCCTGTTTTTAGCCTATTTATGAATGGTGACAAAATGATTATTCCTTCTGTAATGATGGAAGTGTATTTCAGAGGAAGTACTGATAAGTGGTGAGAGCAAGAAAGAGAAAGTATTACATTTAGGAACACTAACAAAAATTAAGCCCATTAGAAATCTACTGACTTTTTACTGAAGCTGTGTCAGGATGAGAGATTTCTAAACCAAAAGGATTCTTCACTTGTCTCATCTGCTTCTTCAGTACTCTGGTGCTGGATTCTGCTTCTTCTGAGTTTCTGAGAATAACAGGAACACCCAAACCGAACCTGAGAGACACAAATAAGAGCAATGAGCACATTATGCACCGCTGTTGGCATGTTTGAGTTTCTGTTCAGCTCCAAATAACTTGCAGCACAACAAATGGATCCAGTGTGGCTCTGCACAATATCTGTTAGGATGCATATAAGAGAGCATATAAACAGGAGGGGGAACGGCTGTTTGTGAGGGTGGATGGTGATAGGACAAGGGGGAATGGCTTTAAACTGAGACAGGGGAGGTTTAGGTTGGGTATTAGGAGGAAGTTTTTCAGCCAGAGGGTGGTGAGGCACTGGCACAGGTTGCCCAAGGAGGCTGTGGATGCCCCATCCCTGCAGGCATTCAAGGCCAGGCTGGATGTGGCTCTGGGCAGCCTGGGCTGCTGGTTGGCGACCTGCACACAGCAGGGGTTGGAGCTGGATGAGCGCTGTGCTCCTCTGCAACCCAGGCCATGCTGTGATTCTGTGCATAAATAACACAGCCTGCCAATTCAGCTCCAGCTCTTCATGGCAGAACATAGGGGTCTTCAGTGTTTAAAAACAAACAAACAAACAGAGGGAGAATACTTTGACAATATTTCCGGAGAGAAATTAGCGAGGATGGTCAATGCCCCCTAGTGGTAAACGGTTAACCAAAGCTTTCTTTCATTGACATTCTGCACATCCAACCACAGGACAAAAAAGCCATTGCTTACTGAGATGGAGCAGATTTAAGGGACGGGGTGCTGTGCAGGAAGACCTGCGAGTGAATCATCCAGCCCTGTGGTAAGCATAGCTGTAACTGCAGCCAGTGAGATGGCTGTAGAGATCAAGATCCTCATTTTGCATTTTATCCTTGATCACAACAAAATGCCACGTCTAAATCAGAGGTCTTACAACCTCTGCATTGAGCCAGAAACCAAATGTGAAACAGCCAAGACTGAATCACAGGTGCAACTCCAAGACCTCTGCAAAGGTGAAACTAGCACGCAAGCCCAAGCTGTAGCTTGACTCTAAAGGGACAACTTCTGAACCTTTGCTTCCTGTACGTAAGCATCCCATAAACGAAAATAAAAATCAAAGAAAATGACAAGAAATATTTCAGGGTGGTTTCTGACATCATCTTAAAAACCCTGAGGTTTTCACATTGCCCAGGGCTCTTAGGGAACTGCCACAGAAGATCAGGATCTACAAAACAAGCTCCATAGAACACTTCCTTTGTCTTTTGGCTAAAAACAATTCAGTGTTAAGGTGACAGCAATAACTGTCAGTAAGCAAAGGATAATTAGAGAAGCCACCCTAGACACACAGTCAGAAAAGTGCTTCAGAGACCAATGGGATTTTTGTACTTGCATTAATCCAGCATTGCCTCATTCCTGAGGTGACAGGGAGAGGCTGTGGGGGTCCTTTGCTAATCTAGTTGAGAACACAGTTATTAATTAGCTCAGGCTGCACTGTCACCATTTAGTGCTGCTGCTGCCATCGCTGTCTGTTCAATGGCCTCAAATGTTATTTGTTACTCCATCTTTGATAAATTCCTTTGGTCTGCCAGACTGATGGAAGCACTGACATTTCTTTGCTGATATAACATAGGGTGCTCAGCCACGCTTAGTTTGTGCATGTGGAACATCAGATCTCTTATCCAGTGCAACTAAACACAGCCATGCCTACTTTGCAGGGGCTGTAATGAATTATGCCAGCTTCACATCTTACTCTTAAAGAACCCAGGTGCAGCAGCTGCTCCACTTATTCAGCATCTAAGACTCAGTGGAGTTAATCTCTCCAGCCACACATAAAGATGCCTCCTGTTTTATACCATCTGGCCGATTCCAAAGTAAGAACCCTGTTCATTGGCAACTTCCAAATCCTCTGGTTGAAAGCAACAGGATAATCACCATGAAAAAAAAAAAAGAAAGAAAGAAAAAAAAGGCTCCAGTATGGTTTTAGCAGCAGTTGAAGGCAAAAGGCCTTCTCTGCTCAACAGTAAGATACAGCGCTTCTGTCAATTTTAAGGCAGCATTCAGCACACAAGGGATGAAAAAAGCCTTTATGATTTAACTTTCCACCAGCCCAGGTTGACAGCTGGTATATGGGACAATTAATTTCTTTAGAACCACCCTAGTTTACAAAAGGCAGGTAATTCCAATGGTTCAAGCTGATTTCTTCAGTGGGCCGTGCGGACGTGGAAGAGATGCTGAGCTCACAGCTTCCCCTGCTACAGAAGAGATGCTGAGCTCACAGCTTCCCCTGCTACAAGCATTCATCTCCAGTCAGGAGGCAACTCACAGGGCCATATGCAGCCAGCCTAAACTCCACTTTTGTCTCTGTGCCCATCTAATGAGCTGGCTCTTCCAGCAAGCTTCCTGTTCTGTAACCTATTCTCTAAGTAGGGCCACTGCCTGTAAAAAGATGATGCTCTTCAAATCAAGGCATGGTTTTGCTAATTCAAACATCAGCATTCCTAGGCAGTTGGTGTTTTTCAGGCTAGCTGCCACCATCACGTGTATGTTTATGAAACAGCTGATGATTGATGGATCCTGAATGATTGATTGATCCTGGAGAAAAGAAGGCTGCGGGGTGACCTCAGTGCAGCCTGCAGTACCTGAAGGGAGCCTGCAGACAGGAGGGGAATCAACTCTTGGAAAGGGGAGATGACAGCAGGACAAGGGGAAATGGTTTGAAGTTGAGAGAGGGGAGATTGAGGCTGGATGTCAGGGGGAAGTTGTGTGCTGTGAGAGTGGTGAGGTGCTGGAACAGCTGCCCAGAGAGGCTGTGATGCCCCGTCCATCCCTGGAGGTGTTCAAGGCCAGGTTGGATGGGGCCCTGGGCAGCCTGGGCTGCTGTGAAATGGGGAGGTTGGTGGCCCTGCATGGCACAGGGGGGTTGGAGCTTCGTGATCCTTGAGGTCCCTTCCAACCTGGGCCATTCTGTGATTCAGTGATGCTGAACATGATGGGGTGAACAAAGTGTCATTATGGCAATCCATCAGATAGCATGCATTCAGATGATACCATATGAACTTATAGCATCCTGTGTAGCAGATTGCTTTCATGAGTTAGGAGGTTCAAAAAGTACTTTGGCAGAGCTGTAGCTGCAGACACACTGAATTTGCTCAGAGGTTCTTGGATTCTTCAGTGCTGGACATGCTTTTATTAAGGCTGAATATCTTTAGAAAGAGATTTTCACCTTCGCCAGATGCAAACCAATCTACAAAAGTTATACATGGAAGTTAAGTTCACCTATGTTCAGTTAATAGATGAATTCAACATAGATTGAGTTTAACATTTAGAGAAGCCAGGTCTATCATTGAGATGTGATAAAGGTGCACAGTGATAAAATAACCCCTATCTATAGAATACAAGGTTTTCAGAAGATGTAGTCCATCAGAAATACACTTCCCTGCTCTCTCAATTATCTATGCAAAAGCATGTCACAAGAAATAAGACCTGGGGAAAATAATAACTAAAATAACGACTAATTTGGTAAAGAAACACTGGGTTTTGCATTTATATACAAGAGATTTATTCAAAACATGATTTAGTGTCTCGATTGACAGACGAAGTGAAAAAGGGGAGTGCAGTGAATGGTGAGATAGCACTGCCAGTGTGCAGTGGGACAGAGGGAATTGTGAAGAAAGATTTCTACCACCTCTCCTGAAGTAAGGAACGATGTGGAGCTTCATCCAGCAGGACCAACCTTGCCTTCACTTCCACCCACCCAGCACTAGGGGAGGCAACGCAAAACAAGAATAAAATCTTTCCACAGAACATATCTGAAAGATCAAAAGGTAAATTAATTCAGACTGAAAGCAATTGATGGTATATCTTTGAGGCAGTAGCAGCTAATGAAGTGATGTAAACAAGAGCAAGACATTGCACTAAAGGAAAAGTCTGCCACAGCATTTATAATCTGCCAAAAGAACAAAGAGCTACAGCTAAAACATCTGCGTTTTAATGAGACAAAGAAAGCAATACACTGAAGCACAGCACTTCAGATATTAATACTGAGCCAAGAGGATGAAATGCAGTTTCCTCCAGAAACCACACAAATGTCATGCATTCACATTCTGATTGCCAATTGATGCTCTCAGCTTGGCATGCATCCGTATTTATTTAAGTGCTTTCTTTTGAGAGTGGTGAGGTGCTGGAACAGCTGCCCAGAGAGGCTGTGATGCCCCGTCCATCCCTGGAGGTGTTCAAGGCCAGGTTGGATGGGGCCCTGGGCAGCCTGGGCTGCTGTGAAATGGGGAGGTTGGTGGCCCTGCCTGTGGCTGGAAGTTGGAGCTTCATGATCCTTGAGGTCCCTTCCAACCCAGGCCATTCTGTGATTCTGTGAAATGATGAAGCTGACACACTGGTTCAAGTCTGGTGATTGAGGATTCACCATATGAGAGCATCACCTGCTGGTCATATCAGAAGCTGGACAAAAGACAACGTGTGCAGCTGCTAAAGCATGGGGGCTGCCCATACAACTGTCTGATACTGTCCAAGTTTGCTAAGAACTCAAGGCTCTACCAGCTCTAGAAATTCAACCCCCTGCTTGTTCATAAGATGGAAGTGCTGCTCCGCAGTGCCCCGGCTCAGCAGCAGGTCTGCCAGCAGCGCTCACACGCAAGGAGCAGGCTGGGGATGGCTGGCTCACTCTCCACATCTGCCTCTGCAGCCCGTGCAGACAAACTCATGGAGCCTTAAGCTTCAAGACCTTGGGATTAAACTGCAGAAAGGAGAACCAGCTGCAGCGTTGACACAGGGAATACAGACAAAAATAGGAAAATAGAAAAAATAGACAAAGAGAGGAGAAGGGGGAATGGCTTTAAACTGAGACAGGGGAGGTTTAGGTTGGATATGAGGAGGAAGTTTTTCAGCCAGAGGGTGGTGAGGCACTGGCACAGGTTGCCCAAGGAGGCTGTGGATGCCCCATCCCTGCAGGCATTCAAGGCCAGGCTGGATGTGGCTCTGGGCAGCCTGGGCTGCTGGTTGGTGACCTGCACACAGCAGGGGTTGGAACTGGATGAGCACTGTGCTCCTGTGCAACCCAGGCCATTCTATGGCTCTATGATTCTAATACACATGGCAGACTGCTGCCTGGCAACAGGTGCACCACTGCACTGTGGTGGAGGTACTGTTAGAGGTACATGGAAAGCCCCTTCTAAACTGCAGAGAAACAACAGGTGTTTTTTTTACATACCCAATAAGTTCAGTCTTAATCTGTAGAAGCGTGCACATTTTTACTGCTAAGTTTAGCAGTGTTAGATTCCGCCTTGATAGCTGTAACTGGGCTGACTTCCTTCAGCTAACTCTTCATCATCCTGTGATTCTTTCCCCCACACAAAGCAGCCGCTCACCCACTCCAGCAGGTTCCAGCCCCCCTCATCCCGAAACCCATGACATCCAACACAGCCTCACTTCTCCCACAACCCCAGCCCTCACCCCACAGCTCCATTCCCACATCGCAGCAGCCGCCCCCCGCCGGAGTACCTCAGCCCAGGCCCACCGCCCTACACCGGCCTCACAGGCAGCACCGGCCCCCCGCCGCACTCACCAGCCCAGCACAAGGCCGCTGGTGACGAGGAAACAAACGAACACCACCGTGATGTAGAAAAGCGGCGAGTACTCATAGAGTGTGACGAGAAACACAGTGGCCATAAGGCCGACCGGCAGCCAGCCGAGCCCAGCCGCCCGCCCCACCGCACAGGCTACCGGCCAGCTGCTGCGCAGAGCGCATGCGCAGAAACCGGACGCGTGCGCAGCAGCGGAGCGAAGCCGCTGCCCTCACCTTAGCGCCCTCTCCTGAGGGAACGCCTCGTTGCCATGACACCGCGCGGAGGGCGGGGCCTCGGCGTCATGGCAACGGGGCGCGGCGCGAGGATGGAGGGGGTCACGTGGCCTCACGGCAACGCGCCTTTGCCCTTTCCCTTTCCTTCTCTCTCCCTGCGGGCCTTGAACCTCCCCGCTTCCCGTAGGCGGCTGCCGGTTCCCGCCCAGACGCGGCGACGATGCTGATTGGCTGAAAGAGAGGAGCGGGGAGGGAGGGAGGAAGGCGGGGTCCTTTTGGCGCAGGCGCAGTGGAGAGGGCGGCTCAGTGAGGAGGCGGCGGGGCGGCGGCGCGGACGGTTGTGGTGTTGGCGCGCGCGCGCTCAAGATGGTGAGAGGAGCTCGCGCTGCCTGAGGGGGGATGGGCGGGACGGAACGGAACTCTGTGGGGGAGCGGGGTTTGTGTATGCACACCTTTTTCCTGCGGGTTTGGGCTCAGCCCCGGTCGGGAGTGAGGGAAACGCTCCCTTCTGAGAAGAGCTCTGAGGAGAGCGGGGCTCGTGGCGGCTATGGGAGCCGTGGGGAAGCTTAGATCTGAGGAGGAATAAGCACAGGGGAAGGCGGTGCGCGCGCAGCGCTTGCAGCTGGAGGAGCCCCGTGACAGCAGAGCCTGCGATTTATTTTTTTTTAGTTATTTTTATTTATTTTTTTTTACGAAGTTTAAAAATGCAGCCGTTGAGGCAGGAAGATCTTAGGAATTGTCGGGCAACGGGCGAGCTGGAGCTGGTGGCCGTGTGAGGTGTGCTGGGGGGAGGCTCAGGAAGCGGTGCGAAGATTGCGTGTGTCAGGGCAGCAACCTGCGGGTGACACCGCTGCTTCCTTCCCCATCGTCAGCGTGGTGACTCATAGGGCAGCTGGGTGCTGCTTCGGAAAGCTCAGGCTTCACAAATGTTGCTCCCGTTTTTTTAAATGCTTTGGTTTTTTTTCCGCTCGTGCTGCTGTGTGTTAGTTCCATGGAGTTGGCTTGTCAAGTCTTGAGGGAACGCCTCTTTCCTTTTAAGGGCTGTATTGTGGGAAAAGAAATCCTTGATAGCAGTGGAGGAGAATAGTCTTGCTTCAAGGATACAATGTAACGTGTTTATAGTTAAATGTTGGCTTTGAGGAGGGATGGAAGGACAGGAAGGTGTGTTGTTCTTAAAACCTGCTTTCACAGAATGGCCCGGGTTGGAAGGGACCTCAAGGATCACGAAGCTCCAACCTCCACCACAGGCAGGGTCACCAACCTCCACATTTCACAGCAGCCCAGGCTGCCCGGGGCCCCATCCAAGCTGGCCTTGAACACCTCCAGGGATGGACGGGGCATCACAGCCTCTCTGGGCAGCCGTTCCAGCACCTCACCACTCTCATAGCACAGAACTTCCCTCTGACATCCAACCTCAATCTCCCCTCCTTCAGCTTCAAACCATTTCCCCTTGTCCTGCAGTTATCTACCCTTTCGAAGAGTTTATAGGCTCCCTTATTTCCTAGTTTATGTGTTTGCTTTGAAACTTCTGACAGATGACTTCAGTTCCACTTCCTAAGAGTTTAATGGCACATATCCCTGATGTGGGGGTATTTCTCATATTAAAGAGCTTTCTCTCAGCTGTCTTCTACCTCTGCAATTCCCTCCATAGAGTGAATCTCTGGTGGTTTGTGATGTTGCTGAAGACCTGGTGGAGAAGCTGCGAAAATTCCGGTTCCGTAAAGAAACCAACAATGCTGCCATTATAAGTAAGTTTAAAACATGATTGGCGAAGATCCTACAGTCCTGTGGGATCCTTTCTTTCTCCCCATGTAGTTTTGTTCCTGTAACAGGTAGGTGTGAGCCAAGATTCAGCGTCTGGCATGAACTGGAGTATCTCCTGTTCTGCGTCTCTACTGCTAACAGTAGAGAAATACAGTTTTAATGACATGAGGCCTGACTTCATCTGCTCTTGGTAGAGCTTTTTGTGGCTAGTTGTGGCTCAGAGTTCATGGTTGGTTTTAAAATGATAGCAAAAACAATTTGTGGCATGGTCACTTCAAGTTTGTAAATTGTATAGCTTTTAAGCGTGATATTTTTGACCCTGGTCTCTGAAATCTGCAAAATACACATTGCTGTGAACAGCCTTTGTATAACTTCTGACTTGAGGGATTTTGTGAAACCACGGGGCAGGGTCTGAAGAAATAAAGGAGGGGTGAGAAATGTACTTGTAAGGTGCTGTTAAAAAGCTTTATGCTTATGTTGTGTAAATCAGTTGAAAGCTGATCTGTGTTTTATTTTGATTTGTAGTGAAAATCGACAAGGATAAGCAGTTGGTGGTACTGGATGAGGAGCATGAGGTTTGTTAAATGCATTGTAAATAAGAGTATCTTCAGCCCGCAATGTATTGTTGTCTCTAAGGTACTGCCTTAGTTTCAAATTGTTATCAAACTCTTAATCTAATTTGGCTCATGAGCTGGTTTGAATGCATGGACACTGCATGTAAAGCACGGTGCTATTCATAGTGGGACTGTGCAGAAGTGAGGAACTGTGAGGCAACAAATGAATTGCACGAAATATAAGTTAATTCAAAGCTGTGATGGTGCAACTCTGTATGTAAGAGCATCTTTGGCACCTGCTGGCTTCTCAAAGACTTCTCTGCAGCATTTCCATGGATCTGCATATGGATCTCTGAACTCATCTGCTGTCAGTTAGAAGCTAGGCTTGCTAGTCCTTTGCAGCTCCTAAATTTGATAGATGGCATAGTAAGCCACCTTGTAGTATTTCTTAATGGTACATGAGGCAAAATTAAATCCTTCCAAGGGATTTGAGTGTTACTTGTAGCTCTTACACCCTAGAATGTAGCAGCTGACGTAGTGTTTGAGTGGCGTGGGGGCTCTTGGCTTGTTCAAGGAGCAATTTCTCAGGGAGCACCTTTTATGTAGCTGGTTTTTAACAGTTACTTATTTGGATGTGCTTGTTTACTTCTGTTTAGTGCTGGAGTTACAAAAGCACTGTAGCTGCCAGCTTATCCAACTAGAGCCAGAATGTTTTCCAAAGTCATTATGCCTAAACTAGGGATGATTATTCACATTAATGTTTAGTCGCAGAAATCTATTAGCAGACAAGCTTTCTAAAGCTGTTCTAGTGATCTGTGTTAGAGATGGTTATCAGTTAAACTGAAGACTGCATCTAACTTGCAGGTGTTTTACCACCCCACTGTTGTGCTTTAGCCTTCACAGTATACCTTCAAGTGCAAGTTCATTTGTTCAAATACTGCTTGTGTTTAATGTTACCAGGGTATTTCCCCAGATGAGCTGAAAGATGAGCTGCCTGAGAGACAACCTCGATATCCTTTTGCGCTGCTGGCATTTGTCTTAGTCACTCCTGGAAGCTGTTCAAATGTTTAAAGTTGAACTTCACCTTTTTAGGCTAATGCTTGCCTGTGATGAGACTTCAGTAACACTTGATTTGTGAGGCATCTTGGGGATCAGTTCTCGTGATGCACCGAATGATTGTCCCAGTTCTTAAAACAGTGACTGATGCAGTTAGGCCTTTCCCAAGGCTTTATTTCCTTCTAAGCTACGCTCTGTAACATTTAGGGAAGTGCTGTTAACGAAACAAGTATAGTGCACCAGTTTTGCATGTTGCTACTTGCAAATACAGAACGCTGCCCATGTAACTTAGGATCTGTTTTGGTGCTTTCCTAGCATGTGCTCCTTGTTGTTTTGCTGCAGGTACTGCTGCTGGGAGCACTTTAGGCTTGTAGGCTTGTAGGGATGTAGGGGAGAATCCCTGTACTGAAAGAGGGGAGGGGGAAAAAAAAGCAAAGTGAGTTGGCAGAGGGAAGTGAACTTTTTCTAACTAAACAAAACAAGAGGGGTATTTAAGCTACAGCTGATGAAATATCTGTTTTCAGTATCCTTCAGAGCTGGCTTGCAACGTTCCAGGTGCCATTCTGAAACTACTTCCATGACTGTCGTGCAGTAGGAGGCTATAAAGCAGGAGTTCAAACTCCTGAGAGCACCTGGAGCAATGAAGTGCTCGGTCTGTGCTGAAGGGATGTGGCTTTCAGCAGGCCAGCAGCCATGGGTGTGAGAAGTCTTCTTACCAAAGTGGAGGAGGAATCTTTGCAATGAAAGGGGTGTTTTTAGCTGTCTGATCTTGAACAGCTGTAAGGAGGCAACCTTCACCCTCTGGCTGCTGTAGAGGTTGGTAAAAACAGGCAGGCTCAGTTCTGAAAGTCAAATATGGAAGTGAAAGTAAAAGACAGACTGCAAATTTGAGTCATCTTCTAGAACGCGTGACTTCTTTGTGCCTGTATCAAGCTCTGATAATTGATGATTATCCTCACCAAATAATTGGTTTCTCAGTTTCCTTAACCTCAGAAAGAACATTTATTGTGTACAGTTACAAGTATCAGCATGAAGATGGAAGAGTTTCTTATCCGTTGTGCTTTATCTTCTCCAGTCCTGTTGGTGAGTGAACCCTGTGAATGGCAGCTACTGTGTGCTGTAAATTTGGGAATGTTCTGTGCAGTAGAGAAGATAAGTGCTTAATGCTCAAATATTGGTGCAAGGCTGAATTTATGCCTGTGCTGCAATCAGGGCACTGTAAAGCTGTGGCACTGCCTGGAGACCTTTTTTGGAAGAGAGGAATCTCTAGCATATTAACTCTGTCCTCACCACCTGCTCGAGGCAATTGTTAACGCTCCCATCTGCCCAGATCTCCCTACTTGCTAGAGGTTTTCACTGCATTTGGGGTTCACGTTTAAGACACTTAGGTAGTAGAGTGCAAATATGCTTTGTTTTCCATTTCTGAAGGCTGAAGTGAAATATCAGTTTCCTGCATAGGTGTCCAAACAGTGTGTTTTTCTGACTGGGCCCACTGTGATCTCAGTGGCACGCTCTGTAATGTCTTCCTCTGAATGACAGGAGCCTGCAGTGCTCTGC